TTGCCACCCTCTACCGTTAGAAATATTTCCAAATAACATTTTAGAGTTAACCTTGATTTTTTTTCTTTTTTGGTCCATCTCAAAATAGAAACCCTAAAGAAAAAATGTAAAAGAAAAAAAGAAAAAAAAAGAAACCTCACGCTTTACTCCACTGCGTTTATAAAAGCATGTGCTCAACTGCGCATGCGTGAACCGTTTTTATTTAGTCCAATTTTGGGAAGCCGTATATTTTTTTTTAATAATTCCTTTTATATATGGAAATTATTTAATGATAGTTTTATATTCATAACGTTGATTCAATTAATATATTCTAATAATTAATTAAATCTAAAATAAAAATAATAATTCACGTTGAATTTTTAATTCTATTTGCGAACATTCTGCATTGGAAAAGAAAGAACACAAAGTAAGCATTGTTTTTATAGTTTTTTTTTGTTTCTCTTTTTTGTTTCTTTCGATTTCTCTCGTTTTTATTCTTTTTTTTTTTTTTTTTTTTACTTTTTTTTCCTAAAGCTGCGGCTTTCACCCTCCCTAGTTAAGATCATTACCTAGAGTTTAGACAATAGGGTTTGTAAGCAAATGGTAATATTTGCCTTTTCATTATAAAGAAACAGCCGGCATTCATTGACCGAGCAGCTAGTTTTACTGTTGGTTGAAATTTATAAAATCTTTCTCTTCGAATATTTTTCAGGAAAATAACTATCTCAAGTGTAATAACTGCTGTTGTTTTTTCAAGTATTGATGGGGGTTTCCTTCCTAACTTTTTGTCCGAAGTCGTGGGAAACGCCAACATCTTGGATGTCATTATTTTCTTTAACAGTTACATGTGATATCCATTTCTGTTGTTGTAGAAAGTCATCAAGTGATTTCTTTATTAATAATATCTTAATACATCTAAACAAAACAAGGCTTATCTTTATTCTAACAATGCGTTAGAGTAGAGAAAGATGACTTGCACAAGCTGAAAAGCGTATTAAGGAACAGGTACATTTCGTTAGCAAGAAAGAGTTCTGAAATGTTATACAGTATCAAACTTAAATATTATTATTGATTTGAACTCAGACTTTAAGTTGATTAATTTTGATATTTTCAAAATATTCTCATTATTGTTTTAAAAAAATGATGTTTTACTGAATATATCAAAACGAATATTAGTGAAGCAATGGGAAGGTGAGGTCCGATTATATATATATATATATATATATATATATATCTAATTGAATAAATTACAAACATTATGTCTGCTTATTTTTATCATAATCTTTTTATATTCACGAATATTTTTTCCGTATATTACAATATTATTAAATTAATTGTAATATACGGAAAATATTCGTGAATATGAAAGGATTACGATAAAAATAAGCAGACATAATATTTATAATTTATTCAAAAAGACATGCCTAGACACACAAAAAGACACATACACACGAACACACACACACACACACACACACACACATATATATATATATATATACATACATACATCGATGTTCCTAAATAGCGGTGAGGAATAAATATATCATTATTTTGTGCCTGATGAGTTGGAAAACCAGTGAAACAAGTGCCACACCTAAACGTAGGTATATGCATATGTATATTTATTAATATATATCTTTTCTCTGTTTAACCACATCGAGCACTGTTATGTTTACACCTCATGAATAAATTTAATGATTATTTATTTGCTTGCCTGTGTATGTACGCCAACACGAGCGTATACGATTGCTTATATCTGGTCGTTTGATTTATCCAAATCTATACCTATAATTATTTTAGTATAAATCATATACCTATACTAATTCAAACGTTATTTTTAATGAATACCCGTGTTTGGAATACTCCCCCCTTTTGTGCATTACATCTATCGACGTGCGCACTCGAGAAAATTTTATAAAGAAAATGTGCCCCCAGGCGTGGTTCGAACCTGCGCCCCTCTTTATAGAACCACAGAGGGCGTCACCGTTACCCTCCACAAGGTTCAATTCACCATTTTAATGAATACAACCCAACTCGTTCAGTTATTCTCGAAAGCTCATATCTGTTCATTTTCTTATCCGAAATGTAAACAAAGCAATTTCTAAAGAATTAATGGATTTATAACATTTTTATTACTATATTTAATTCAGTAAAATTAATGTTTGAAGTAATAATAATGTCAGCTTAAAAATAAACCTACTATTATTTTTTTTTCCTATATTCATATGCAACTCATTTAAGGAAAGGCCGCACGATTTATATAGGATGGGCTGCGAACCATTCCATTAATTGATGTCTTTGAAACTTTTTCTTGGCAAGATGGGTAACAAACAGCCTAGCAAAAATGTAAAGGAACATTGTTTTAACTTTTTAAAGTTTCTTCAGTGTCACCTGTACAATTCAAAATCCTTTTTTTGTCTACGCGTTTTACCTTCACGTCTTTTGGAAGGATGTATAATTTAACTGCCAAAATTAATTACCGAAAATACAAAAGTATTATCTACTCTCTCAACTTTTGTCTTCGTTGTCGAGTTAATTGATTCTTTCTATCAATGACACAACATTTAACGCAACCATTTCATATAATGTCGCTCTTTATTCATCATAAAAATAATATTATTGTGAAATCAGTTTACATATGTCACTTGTAGATCTTCGACGTTTCTTTCTGTGATGTTCCACTTAAAGGCGATAGTTTGGTTGTCTTTAACTAATGTTCTTAATATTCTGTATCTTTTCCGATTGTTTATATTCCCAAAACCAGTTTTATTAAATAATTCTTGCTGGCCAAAACATTTTTTTTTTACTGCCCTGATTTTTCTGATGTTTCTTTTTATGACATTTTTAAAATCATTATTGGACATTTTATAAGTTTACAACATATTGTTTCTGATGTAATGAATATGCATACACCTAGGTTCCCCCCTCACAGTAATATGATTGGTTGGTGTCAGCCATAAATACAGACTGATGTGGACGCCTATTGACGACGCCTGTTGGCCTACGCCTATTGCCTACCACTACGACGAGGACCAGTCCATTACGGTTACCTGTTAGATTGTCCTACCTGGTTACAGTAAACAAACAACCACTTTACTACTTCTAAGAAATATATCCCTTCCCGGGACATATCAGTTTCCATCACTCAATGTCTTTGGAGTATATTATTGTCTTTTGAGATGATATCAATGCTTATGACCCATGGAAATTTTCTGATTGGGATGTTTCACTGTAGTCGATTTCTAAAGACGGTGACTTTTTGATAATATCTGCCTGGATAAAGTATCCCGGCTCTTTGGGAAGTACGTGAAAACCACACTTCACGAGTTGACCCAGGCGCTTTGACTGAAATTCAGTAGACGAAACTATGCTATCACGAAGGCACAAGATGTCATAAGCGAGAGTTTGAGTAGGCTGACATTGTTCAAATTGGTGATGCGACTAGATTCTGCGTTCCCCTCCCAAAATCTAAGGGCTGCTCAAAATAATTGCAGTATAAACCACTGCATTAGGGATTAGTTAGGACAAACCTTTCAGACAGTCATACTCGGATACATACGGTCAGTCATACAGCATGAGATAATGAAAAGACTTATCAGCATCAGTTGGTTAATGAAAATTTTATTGTGAAAATTTGATATAGGACTATATATATATATATATATATATATATATATATATATATATATATATATATATATATATATACGTGTGTGTGTGTGCGGTTGCATGGAGAGTTGTTTGCTACATTAGGTTTTACGCTTTCGCGAACTTCAATATATATATAATTAATAGAAATATAAAATTTGTTAGCTGATTGTTATTATTTTCATCATCTCGGTTTTCATAGAGGTACCCTTCTTGAATAGCCCCGTCCACTCGTCAGGAGATACCAGCAATTGGCCGTTTATGTTCTCGTTTTTCGTCGCTTTCTATTGATTTAAAAATAGTTTTTTTATCTATCAACACACACACACACACACACACATATATATATATATACAGAGAGAGAGAGAGAGAGAAAGAGATAGAGTGATTGAGAGAGATAGACAAACGGACAGACAGGCAGACAAAATGACAGAGAGAGAGAGAGAGAGAGATAGAGTAAATGGACAGTGACAGAAGAACGCAATAAAGCGAACAACTGGCAGTCATAATATTATGTTGATTCCTATGTCCACATTTTCAATGTCTATCTAAACGCTTTATTCCCGATATCAGCCATCCAGTAAAATGTGTGGTAGATTATTCAATAAGGCAATTATTATTCGGTTCAACTCGTCCAGAACGCACACCAGTTGTCCATTGCCAGCATCGAAGGATGAATCTTCTGCAAACCCTCACTCATTGGCCTCACATAGTAATATTTGCATCGTTTGTATTTTCTGGTTAAAACGTGTATCATATATCAGCTAATATATAAATATATATATATATATATATATATATATATATATATATATATATATATAGTGAGAGAGATGGAGAGAGAGAGAGAAATGTACACGCACACACACACACACACACACATATATATATATATATATATATATATATATATATATATATATATATATATATATATATGAATTCTTTTGAAATCTTCTTGAATACTTTACTGCATTGATATAGTTTCAATCATGACCAAACTTGTTCAGCATTTTTGCCTGTGAAGAAAAAAAAAACATTTCCCCGCCCTACCTTCTACCCTCTTTCTCCTCATCCCACCGGACTACTATCATTACCCTTCACACCTTCCCTTCATCACCATCAAACAGGCAAAAACAAAAAAAAAGCTTCATTTCCAAACCCCTGCAACTCCTTCACCCTATTTACTATTCCCTGACCCCTTCCCGCCACTACTGTACTAGCAAAAAAAAAAAAACCTCCCTACCTACGTACTAATCAACCAGGTAGGTAAAGATGCTGTTTCGTTGGTATACCATTTTAGCAAACTCTGCTACTATTACTATATTACTAGCGTAATAAGCCACTTTCGGCATTGCCTTTCTCAGAGAATGGCGCAAACTGCTGGATTTGGTATAGGCCCGTCGAAACTATCATCATCAGCTGCTCCAGGGGGGCGTGGTATGTGGTTGTGGTGGAGGTGGACGAGAAGAGAAAAGGAGGTGGCAGGTGGAGAACGGCAAAGTATTGTTTTTAGCGTCGCCATATTGGTTGGTTGGAACTCTATGTTTACCATGTTAGGGATGACTTCACTAGTCCATGTAGAATGGGCAACGCACTTGATTGCCGTCATTCTCTATTCCCACCCCCACCCCCGCTCTCAACAGCTTTCTTTCTTTCTTTCTTTCTTTCTTTCTTTCTTTCTTTCTTATTGCCTTGAAGACGTACTTACTTTCTTTTCTTTTTCTCAACTGATCATCCTCTTCTCTTTGCTTTCCTTTTTCTTTTTCCTTTCTCTCTTTATTTTTCTTTCTTTCTTTTTCATAATCCTTCCTCTCATTTATTCTATCTTTCTATCTATTTCATTTTCTTTCATTCTTATTCGTTTATTCTCTATCTTACTGCCTTCTCCCCTTTTTCTTTCACTTTCTATTTCTTTCCTTATTTTTTCTTTTTTTTTTATCTCATCTTCATGCTTTTCTTTTATTCATAAATTCATTTTCTCTTTCTTTTAGTTCTGTTGCTTTTTACCACTTTATTTTATTTTATTTTTATTTTTTCCACCTGCCACATTTCTCCCCTCTGTTCTCCTTCCCAGTGCCACCGCGATACTGCAGCAGGCACCCAAGTACCTGCCCATCGCATTGCAAGACCAAAAACGCTGCCAAATTCTGCTTTGCCTTACTAGAGGCATCCGACGCGATCCGCTTTCATTAAATTTCATCCGAATGTATAAGGAATTATTTCAGAGAACGCAAAAGACGCCACGAACAACAGGGAAAGAGGGAGAGGGGGAGAGAAAGGAGGGAGAGAGGAGAAGAAAGAGAGAGAAGTGGGGGATGATGAGATATAAAAAAAAACATCTGAGAAATTAAAGAAAAAAGGAAGAGAGAGAGAGAGAAGTGGGTATATATAAAAAGTTGTTTCTTGGAAGAATCTAAAATAACAGATAAAAATCGAGACCACAATCTCTCGGCATATTAGAATCAAGTTCCAATTAAACAAGTTTACAGGCCACTATTTATAGGCGCGAATTTCTTGTCGAGGACGCGTGGCTTCAGGTATCTAGGACACATTCTAAAGAAAGCTAAAAGTATAAATATGTTTCTGTTACTAGTTATAAAGGTTATAAGATATTCTTTTTCACAATAAAGATATTTACACGTGAACATGAACAAAATGTGGCACCTTGCCGTTGGACACTGGTTAGAAAATTCGTCTTATAGCAAAAAAACAAAACAAAACAAAAAACGGGTAACACTCACGTGTGGCTTAATGGCGGACTTTGCCCATCCTTAAAAGCCATTTCTCTTCAGCACATAGTCGATCAGGACTCTTCACGGGTTTTCTTTTCCTTTAATATCTATAAACTGTCAATTGTCATGCTTTTTTTTTCTTTTTTTTTTGGTAAAGATAGTGGAATAATTTCACCTTGCTTTTTCTATTGCCAATCAAATCAACTGAGTCCAGTTTACTCTGCTTTTGTTCTTGACTAATGAAACTGGACATAATCAAAAATATTCAAATCATTTGAATCCTGTTGGGAATGTTAGTCTCTTTGATGTGTGGCTTCCACGTGAGCGACAGAAACTACTCGACCTTATTTCTGTGTGCTAATCTCTGAATAAATAGAACAAAAATATGCCTTTTTTAGTCTGCTATTAAACCAGTACCTCTACAAATAATGATAACCCGTTTTTTACAGGTATTAATTTTGGTTGCAACTGCTTTTGGTTGAGCTAGAAGTAGTAACCACAAGTAGTAATATTAATATATATATATATATATATATATATATATATATATATATATTACAATCATTCGCTTTTGAATTAATTTTTCTCTTAGACTGGTTACTAATTAAATCTACTTAAGTTTTCTTTGCTATTAAACAAGTTGCATGAGAGCGAGGGAAAGATGGGTTCATGCCTTTTCAAACGGCATAAGGGCGTAGTGAAAAGCTGTTTCAGTTGGAATTTATTTTGAGTGTCTACTGTTACGCAAAGATAAGCGATTTCGTCTTGCATGCATATTGTCTAGTAAATTGAGTTCGATCCTCACTGATTTATCAATTACTAATGGCCTTGTGCCAAACAGAACTTAGTAATTAACTACAAGAGCAATGATCATAGAGCAATAATTAGAAAGTTCGTCTAGAAATTCATTTCCGATGTAGTGAGTTCAATCCTCACTTAGTGCTTCATTATTGAAATGCTTTGAATTAATTGAGTTGTTTTGATTTTGCAGTTTATCAACCTTTTGCAGTTTATTTAAAGCCAGAAATATATTTTAGGTTGGAAGAATTTTTTGAGACAATAATGATTTAGTGATATAAGTCTTACTAATTAACCCATAGCCGGGGGTGAAGAGGTGGATTCATGCCTTTCCCAAGCGTATTTGCGCGTAAGTAAATATAATGAACCCAAACGGAATTGGAACTCGGCTCACTGATTAATAATTCCGAGTGAAACGCTTTGAAAAGCTAAATTAAAATTACTAAATATTTATATTTTCTTACAAACAACACTTTTCATTCTGCATTATTTAGCTCTATACAATATGCAACTTGATTATTAAATCTAAAATCCATGAAAATAAAATTAAAATAATACAGACATTTTTTAATAAAAGAAACGAGATTAAATAAGATTTACAATCGCGAGAAACAATCGTCGAAAGAAAGATTCGGAAAATATAGGAATCTTTGAATTCTGAGAATTTGTGAGAGTCGTCAAGAAAGTTGAAAAGCGTTTTAACATCACTCAGAGAATGATTCATTTCAGATTTCCTGAAAGACTTGACGTGAATCGACCCTTTAACCTCATCCTACAATATAGGAGACACATTGCAGGTTTTGAGAAGTGTTGAGCCACCACTTAATTGGTGTTCTTTCTAGATCCATCGTGACCCGGGGTGGTAGTACCTGTTAGGGTCCCAACTATGGGTAAATAGTGAACCCCAAAACAAAAACAAATCACTATGAACTTATAAAAATACATTTTTATAGCAGAATGACCAACAATACATTTTATAGCAGAATGGCAAACGATACATTTTATCAGCAGTTGAAGACTTACAATTGCATTCAAAATATTTAGATTTTGGCATTAAATAACTCAGAGGTGTGAATATGCCGCTAAACAAATCAACCACAACCATACACATGAAGCAGATTATGATTATTTGAGACATTATGGTCAAAAAGATATGAATGTAATAGTATTATATCATTTAAAAAAATTCATGTCCATTACAAAGCATATGAATGTCATACCATTAAAATAGATTCATGTCCATGAAAAATATGAATGTCATAGTATTATGCGGTTAAAAAAGATTCCTGTCCATTAAAAAACATGAATGTCAAATGCCATTTAAAAAGATTTATGTCCATTAAAAAGCATATGAATGTAATAGTATTATACCATTAAAAAAGATTCATGTACATGAAAAATATGAATGTAATAGTATTATGCCATTAAAAAGATTCATGTCCATTGAAAAACATATGAATGTCATAGGATTATGCCATTAAAAAAAGACCCCAAACCCCTAAAATTGTATTCATACAATTTGAGAAATCTTTTGGACTTTATTAAGCTTTGGCAAATATTTATTCTTATTTCACTTTTACCAAATTTGAAAATATTTCATCATCGATACGATCCTGAAGATTAGTTCAGATTAATTGAAAGATTTCCCATGTTAATCTTTAACCGCATCCGACAATGTTAGTGATACATTGGTGACATACTTTCACCTTTGCATTTGTCTCGCATGGGGGGGGGAGTCATGGGGTAGATTCGTGCTGATTTTGTGTACCGCCCAAAATATCCTATTCGTGTATAATGCGCAGTTACTTTTAAAAATGATTTAAAACCTGCGTGTCAAATGTTGTAAAATACGGTAAGACATTTGTATCTGTGAAACAAAAAAGTAACCTGTATTGACAGCACAAAGAGACTTTAGAGTAAAGAGTTGACACATTAAATCATTGCGAAGCCATACCGAGTAATCCCTTTTCATGGCATCTTCCATGACAATAAGGGTGGAGGTGGGGCTAATTGTCAATGCCCATTTCCTTTTTAAATAACATATGACAAGCTTTACTGGGCTACATTGTAACAAAATCAAGAAATGATCCCTGATGTCACCTATTATAGACTGCCTAAGATGAAATACCGTCACAAATGCTATGCTATTTACTCATAGCAGGAAGAGGGGGGTAAGAAGGATACCTGGTTTCGTGCCTTTCTTCAAGTGCATTCGTATGGGACTAAAACAGTCAGGCGAAGTTTAAAGTATTCACCGATTCCATGTTCTGTGTTAAACCAACCTCACCTCATTATCTCAGGTAAAATTAGGTAACTTATATGTTCGAAAAGGAATAGTGCACAATACTGGGTAACCTAAAAAGATCATTATGATTACGTCGGTAGATGGCAGTGGGAGCGTTTAAATTTAACTGTAAATGACGGAGCAACTCGTATCTGCGGATGCCAGTCTAGTAGGGTGGTTAGATAATCCACGTTTCAGACACCGGCTCAGGCACATTTGTGTTTGTTCAACACCCACAGAGCTCACCTGTGGTCTATACTGCAACTATGGTGTGCGGACTTACAGTTTGTGGGAGAGTGTGCTTTATCAAGCGTGATCAAATCCTCGGTTCCGATTACTTGTGACTTCGTGTTAGTACAATCATTGACAGCTCACAAGGGTCCCATCTAGCCAATTTCACTGACAACCTTGTGTCAACCCGTGATATCGTTTTCAGGTACTCTCTAAAGGTGTCACACGCTAGGATTGCCTCCTCCAGACCGATAGCACCAAGAAGATACTTTGCTGACAAATCGACCAATGGTGAGATTCAAACACGGGTCTCATGGTCAGAAAGTGAACATTCTAACTTTCCCATAATTTTAATTTCATTTTTAAAGATCGTTTTTGAGTTTTTTACGACAGTTATTATATCAGCATGAAGTTTTTTTCATGTGTCATAATTATTGCAGTTTTCGTTATTGATTTGACTATTGAAACTGGACATAATCAAAAATATTCAAATCATTTAAATCCCGTTGGGAATGTTAGTCTCTTTGATGTGTGGCTTCCATGTGAACCACAGAATCTATTCGACCGTATTTCTGTGTGCTAATCGCTGCATAAATAGAACAAAAATATGCCTTTTTAATCTTTACTTATTAAAACGAATATTTTGAACAACCAATAACATGACTTTTTTTTTTACAAAAGCAAATGAAGCGAGTAGTCTTTGGCAACACATCAGTAGTAATGATCAGGATCGAATTTTGAAGTCCATTTTTCAAGAATACTACTCACTAATCCAAAGTAGTACTGTATAATATTATGAATAATCATCTTGTTGAAACAAAGCGAATTCTTTGAATACTCAAAAACTACTGCCTTGTGTCATGAAAAGCCAGTAAATAACGATACATAATTGTGCGCATTGGTTTGTGTGTGTGTGTGTGTGTGTGTGTGTGAGAGAGAGAGCGAGAGAGAGAGAGAGAGACAGGGAGAGAGAGAGAGACACACACACACACATACACCTGCAGCCTACCTGCTACGTATGCAGGTAGGAAGAAACGAACTCATAGATTTACAGAAAATAATTGTGCGTAAACACACACATTCATGTGCATTGATCTCTCTCTCTCTCTCTCTCTCTCTCTCTCTCTCTCTCTCTCTCTATATATATA